TTATTTCATTATAATATATACAAAATTTTTACAACTAAAATTACTTCAATGCACTATGGAACACAATCAAATTACGGTGCTAAGAAGTTTGCTTATTAAGAGCATATTTATTGGTAGATAAGAACGATGTTGTTTTTTTTTTCTTTGAATTTTTAGCGACAAAACGGCGTTAGGCAAATCAAATTTTTTGGAGATCTAGTTTTTTTTTTAACAAGAAACATAAACTATTTATGTAGTTTAAGGAAAAACTTCGTACTTTCTTTAAAATTCAGAATATTTAACGAACTATTATTTTTATAGATTTAATAAAAGGTGAGTTAATTGAAACCGAATGGGTAGAGGTTTTCTTTTTTTTTTTTTTGTAAATTTTACAAATTCATTTATATACTGGGAAATGTATATAATGTACATACATACATGCATATGTAGTGTTAGAGTTGCGTTTCATATAGAATTATCAAGTTTGAACTGAGCTCTGTTCATATTGTTTCCTTGCTAGCTGATTTACTGTATTGATCACCGCACAATTTCATAATGGAAAGTCAGATAGAAATTTTCTCTAAATTCTTTAAGATATTTTGTCGACATTCTTTCAGTTAAAGTACTTATAAATTTACAGCTTATATGAGAGCATAATTATTAATATTTATTTTTTAAACAAATCTTTTTGTATTAATAAATGTTTATTCTATGACGTAAACATGCAACCATTCCGGAATGGTATAGTAATTAGAGTTCATGGTTAAGAGCTCAGTTGGAGATACTTGTGTTTTCACTTCAGCACTTTTTTACAATGTAAATTGACAAATTTAAATTTAATTTTTTTTTATCATTATAATTTTATATTTATATTTTTTATATTTATATTTTTTATTTCTTTTTATCATCACTTAATTATAATTATATAATTAATTTTCTCCATATTTTACATCTAAGTTAAAATGTTTATTAATTTTAGTACCTTTTTGTATTGCCATTTATTTATATTTACGTATGCATTTACATAGTTCTGTTTAAAAGTTAAGTGAACTATTTCTTTAGAGAAACTGACGGCTTCAAATTTTTTGGTATCGGCATTTACATGTGCATGCACTTATTTAGTATATACGAGTATTTATATTTATTGCTTTTCTGCACAAAAATTTTTACATTCACAATTTGGCCATTACGAGTTTTGACAAACACAATTTTGACTGTAGAATTTGATTACAAACCAAAAGAATTTCGCAACCACAGATGTGTGTAAATCGGGAGAAGGTGTCATGAAATAAAAATTGCAGACAAATGTATTACTGTGGACAAGCTCCTCATCAAAACGACAAAGTTTTAGCATTTTTTTTTTTTGGTTGATGCCATTTTACAAATGATTATGTTAAGCAAATATCTGTCAAAATAGAAGTAGGAGTAGTCACTCGATGTTCGCGGGTTAGGGGCTCAAGAATTTACCCGCGGTAAGGCATGCCTGTCGTAAGAGGCGACTAAAATCCAATAGTTCCCGCGACAGTCGGGTATATATACCGAAACGACCCGGATTTTTATCCGGCCAAGGACTGTCACTCCCGCAATATTCCCCAAAAAGTACTTTGGGGAATAATTTTGCGGTTACAACAACAACAGCAACACTCGATGTTCGCCTGTGGATATGTGGGGTGAAGAGCTACCTCAGACAACACCGTACACGATAGCAGAAGTCAAAAGGCGAAGGATTTATTCGACCCCTGTGGGTTATGGGTTCAGGAAGCTACCCGCGGTAAGGCCTGTCTGTAAACAGAGGCGATTAAATTAATTTAATTAATTTAATTATTAATTAAAAACAAATTTTTAAGCGGCCAAAGACTGTTACTCCCACAATATTCGCCGAAAACTAATTTGGGAAATATTTTTGCGGTTACTACAACAGCAACAACATAGAATAAATCAAATGTCACGTAAAAAAATAAAGCAAGATTTTTTGCAATTATATTATATATATGTGTGTAGTGTATAAATACACATACAGGGTTATCCACTTTGCGATTTCAAGACTGTCAACACTTTATGCATTTAAAATAAATTTCTTCATAAAACTCCTTTTTTATTAAGAAGTTTGGTATTATATGTGAACAACTACATCTCTCACAAGATCGCCTCACAAATTTTTGCAAACTTCGATTCGTTTGAGGTAACTTCAAGCCACTTTTTGGCACATTTTGGACCGTACCTCGACCATAACCTAACGAATGTTGATTTCAAGTGCTGAAAAATTAAATGTTTATACGCACAGACACGGTCTTCGCGTGGCCTTACGAAAAGTAGTTCAACAACAAGCTGGGAATTGATAGTGATAATTGCGTCGTTGTTGTTTTCAAGCAGTAAAAGTAAAGTCCAGCAGAAGTAAAGTCCAATCTCACCTACGAACCAGAGTACGCATCAGATAGTAAAATATTTTCTGTTTCTTTATTTTTATTTTTATTTTTTTTTTTTTTTTGTTTGTAATGGTTTCACTTCATTTATTTGAGGATTCTCGGAGCTCATTTTCGTATCCTTCGAATGACAAATATGCTACGTCGCTGAAGAAAAAATACGACGTCCACTGCACCCAATCGATTTATCTACTGCGTAATGAATAGTCAGCTGGTATCAGTTGCTGGACTCTAAATGGATGTAAGTGTAAGTCCAAGTGTAAAATATGCCATGATATGCCGTGGGAACTTTCCCACCGGCTCTTGAAAATGTCAAAAAGTACACATTCCGGCTTTCGGTTACACTCTCTCTTATATATATATACGTACATATTTCATAATTGGCGCGTAACCGCTGAAACGAGCTCCTCCTCCAATTCGTGGTTCCGCGTCTTGACTTACAGTTTATACTAAGCCGCCAACGAACGGCTGGTGTTTTTTTATGAGGATATTTTATTTTCAGGTCATAAATTCACTTGGAGGAGTTGACATTGCCTGCCGTGGGGGCACTTGCAACTAGAAAACTCAGCTTAATTTTTTATTTAAATTAATTTTCTATGACTTTTGGATGTTGGTTGCACCAGGATTTGAAGCCTGGCTTTCCAAATGGCAGTACGCTATGCTAATCGCGTCCGCTGAGTAGCAATATTTGAGGTGGAACAAGCAAAACGATGATGCGTCCTCGCAAATATTATAATATTTGTAACTAATGCAGTCTCTGCTAATTTCTTGCACTTTATGCGTCTCCTCGAGCTCGGTCACGTTTGAAGCACCATTTTTGTGGTAGGTTTTAATAATTTTAATGCGTTGTGCGGTTGTTAAACGATATATATACAAAAATGCCTGACTTTTAACTAAAAATGTTGACAGTTCAGTTAAACAGATATCAAAATACAGCGCTCTACTTTTGAAAACATAACATGGATAACCCTATATAAATGAATCTAAACATTTTGCAAAAATAGAATTGACAAAGGCGGAGATATGACGCCAAAATCAACTAATAATAGCAGTTTATTATTGTAATCAACCTTCCTAACAATACGAGTACACACATTCATATATTTAAACTACATCTAATTAAAATCGTTCATAACCTACGGGTGGATTCAACATTTTTCCTTGTTATTCTCTTACAATGTGTTAAAATTCAGTCAATATTGATTTTACTTTCAAGCGCACATATTGGACAATTTTTAATTGCATATTTATTTTATAAATAATTTTTACTGGACAATGTGTAATTTTCGTTTACAATGCCTAAAAGTTTATTTATGCCTTAAATAAATGTTATATGTAAATGTAATTTCAAATTCATTTGTTATGTACGTTAAGTGATTTTATTTTTCATTATGTCAAATTCAATTGGATGGCAAACATTTTGCTGCGTGCATTTTTTATACAAAACATTTTTAAAATTGTGAAAATGAAGTTAATTTTAAAATATTTAATTAATACATTTAAGCTATTGCCATGATGAAGTTATAAATTAAAATTGCATAAATTTCTTCTTTTCTTTTGTCTTTTAACTAAAATTAAAAGTTGTACTTTAAAAGTGGGCGTTATTATGTGGAAAGCGCGCAGTTATGGGCGGGCACTGGTACTTAATAAGTATTTAACTAATACTGAGTTCCTTTACAGATTTTCAGTTATGAATTTTTTTTATTTATTTATTTTTTTTTTTTACTTTTCACTATTAACGTCAACTAGAAACTAGAAAAGCTGATTGGCATTTTAAAATCGCTTTTAGGTACTACGCTGATTATTGTTATCGCCGAGTAGATCTTCTATGGCGCCCGTCAGACGTCCTTTGCTCAGCGCATCTACCAGCATACGCAGACGTTCCTCACGCTCCGAGTGGCGGCGTTCCAATGACGAGACCTGTGTTTATGTAACGAAACGAAAAAAAAAAATAAAATTGAAGAAATATTAAAAATATGGTTAAGTTGCAATTAACCCACAAAATTCCTGTTAAATGTGTACAATTGAAATTTTCCATCATTAAATTATTAATGTGCAACATAACTGCACATGTTCAAACCGAGTTGAACATATGTACAAGCATGTGCATATATATAATTACAACATTGTATTTACATAAGCCTTACAAATTATTTCATAATAGCATTTTACTTCTGGTTGAACGACACATTGACGCTTTAGCGATCGAATTTCGAAGAAGAAAGATAGAAGCGAAAGAGTCGAAAAATTAGTGTTACGTAAAATAATTTAGGTATGCTCGTATATTAAACGATAAATGACCGAGAAAAAAGCAAACAAATATACGTTTGCAAATAAACCGTTAGCAATTAAATTTAAAACGGAAGGAAAGGACAGTAGTGCAAAGCAAATATGAAAAATAACGCTTTAAAACCCATAAAATATGCGAAAAATTTATTTACAAACATACATACATACATATGTATGCACAACGCAGTTAAATAAGTATGTACATAATTATATGAAAAAATCGTAACAATCGTAAGTACATGATGTATGGATTTTTTTTTTAATAGACTACAAGTTTAGTGTCAAAAGAAAAAAAAATCACCGTAGTTAAAAAGCAACAAAAATCAAATCAAAATGCCCACAAAAGCTAATAAATTAATTTCTAAGTGCGTTGTCGCATTTACACGCTTCATTTCGACTTATTCATTATGACACTTGGAAAAGTTTTGTTTTTCATGTTCTCCTCTTTCTTTTGATTTTCCTGCCCCTCACACATTCAAAAGCGCGCCGACAAGACAACGCATTTTTTTAAAAACTTCTTTTTCTTCTTCTTCTCCACTATTGAGTGGCTACTGCTGCGTGCACTTTCCAACGCTTCTTTACATTCAGTTTGCATTTCTTTACCGTTGCTAATGTCATCATTGGTATCCACAACACTACCACCACCACCACCACCACCACCACACGCCTTACCACTCGTCCCACTCACCTTGGCTTTGAGCGCATAATAGTCAACCGGCAATTTGCGTCGTTTTTGTGTGGCAAAGGCTTCGTCGCGTTCATTGAGGCGCTGCTGTAAGACGCGTACCGTTTCATGACACGAGGCCAACTCACGTTCATGTGCGCTTTGCAGTGTCTTCAGCTGTTTGAAATAGCAGGAGAAAAAGAAACAACAGTGAATACGTAAAGTATGCATATTTGCAAGTAATTTGTATATTTTGAGAAAAGAAAAAATAGTTTCAACTTTTGTTGTTAAGTGAAAATTCATTAATTCACTCGGTAAGCTATTCTTATGTTGGTTGCACTTACATCGTTTAAACGCTTGTCATGTAAAATTTTATAATCTGATTCCAGCAGCTTAAGTTTGTTTTGCGCTTCCCGCAGCGTTTGACTCTCTGTGGTGGCTGGCATTTGTTCGCTATGCCCCTGGTTGTGATGCAGCGCTTCGTGACTACGGCGTGAGATATTCAAGCAGGTATAGCTGTTCCACTGCGACTTGTCTGATTTTTGTGCTAGATATTTGAGTATATAAAGAAGTTTTTAGAGTGCTTTTAAACAGAGTAAATTTTACAATTTAATTCATAAAACTATAAGTAATTTTGTTTTGAAAATCGGAGGAATTTTTTGAATTTATTATATAATAATAATAGTGTCAGTAGTCACCGAAAATTTTAACTATTTGGGGGGACATTGTCTATTTCAAGCAATTTAAAAAAAAATTAAAAAAAAATATTTTATTCAATCTCTCTTGCAGATATATATTTGAAAAAGAATTTTGTAATTTTGAAATGAAAATTTTCATAGCTCCTTCGATTTGACAACAGCTCTGGTGACCCCTCGGAAAGAGGTGTTGACAGTAGTAGTACTCATGACAGGATCATTCGAAAATGAAAATTGGTTTTTGGCAATTTTTTTTACAAAAAAATGAAAAATTTTGGTTAATAGTTGAAATTGAAAAAAAAAATTTTTCTAACTCCTCGTGAATTGTACCTAAAATAACTATGAAAAAATTTCAACTTTGAATACACAATTTTAAGAAAAACACATTTTAAGTTTAAGAGCATATCATATAGGCAACAACTGGTAATGATAATCTAAATCACTTCACTTCACCATCAACTGAGCTTGATCATCATTTTCATTATCAAACCATTTTCATGCTCTAATTAACATTATTAGATTCATGACTTTGCCGTCGGCTATCTTCGATAGACCTTCCAGCAGTACGGTGCTAAAATTCCGAAGCCTAGCTCTGCTCAAAGGACAGGACAGTCGCATACGCGATGGGTGGGCAGCTACTGCAGCATTTTCTAATACGAGTCCATAGTTTCTCCCCGCTTCATCCTAAATCTCGTGATCACTTTTTAGCCCACTTCGGTAAAGCATGCCTAGATTTGAGGCAGGCAATGGTTTCATTTCACCTTGACGCAGCTTGTTTATATGTAAATTCCTTGAGAAGCAGTTTGCAAGAGGCAAAAGGCATACCAAAGTTATTCTTTATGTTGTTGTAGCGGGTCGCTAACCCCGCTTAAATATAGGTTTGATCAGTCTAAGTCGCCGAGGTCATCTAGGGGGAGGTCGAGGAAACGAGCTGTTTCGACGGGGTTTGACCAAAGGGAGAGGGGAGTTAGATGAATGTAATGGTCAGCTAGCTTGAAACAAAGTTCCATCGGAGGATCCCTGAGAAGACATCTTCGCCAACTCTCCACTCAAGCCTTGAACCGTCTATGTATATTTTCAGGCAGTCACCCGAAGTCACCCTGCCGAAATTATCTATCCATGCCTTACCATGTCCAGTGTCAAGATATTGTAATACTCATTTAGAGTCTGGTGTTCTCCTCAGTGCAGCACTGATGCACATTAATGCACAGCTTTGAATCCTTGAAGCTTTATTTATAGCGCATCATAAAGGAATATTGCTCTAGCTACTGATATATAGATCCATTGGCAAATCCTACGACTTAGATGCAAAATCTTACATATTGCCTATAGCTTTGAGCCATCTTGTGGATAGCTGGATGGGGAATGAATAACATCTTGCAAAGAAATTCTGGATATCCTCATAAGTGCTTATTTTCCGGGATCTTCTATCGGGGACGATCAAATCCCACACATGGAAGGTGAACGAATCTCTGATATTAGTAACATCGTACGCCGCAAAATAATGGAATGGGCAATATAGTCATTCTAGCTCTTTAAATCTCCCGAACCAGATGGTATCTGGAAGGATATATTCCCAAGGCGTGGACCAGGGCCAAAGTAAATTTTATCCCTTCTTCTTAAAAATCTTTGAAAGGCTGCTTGACAGCTACATACGCCTGAATCTACCCCCAGGGAGCCTCTCGAAGGAGCGACATGCGTACTCTAAGGGTAAGTCTGTCGACACAGCGCTGCACAATTTGGTCGGAGGCATCGAAAAAGGGTTCGCCTTTAAAGAATATACGCTTGGAATATCTCTCGACATTGAAGGGGCGTTCAATATTATATCTGCATTTGTAACAGACGCTCTTCAAGAATTGAATCTCCAGCAAAAAAGTGGGCTGCGTAATATACTCTCCGATGCTCTCCGTAAATGTTAGCAAGAGATTACCAGACCATTGCAGCGTAGCTGCTCTAATCTACGACAGCAGGACAATCGAATACGATATATTCCGACAGTCAAGCTATCTTTGGATCTCTACAATGTAACAACACCACACCAAAGGTGGCTATAAAATGTTGTAGCAATCTAAACGAATTTCCAACTAAATGCAACACTGCCGTGGTCTGGGTACCTGGACATAGTGACATCCCCGGCAAATGAATGGAAGACAAGCTAGCGAGCGAAAGAATCCTTCCATTCACAATAAAATAAGCACACCACTCTGGTTTACTTTTGTCTACGGCAAAGTATATGCCTAAACTGGCCATTGCCAAAGAAGCAGACTCAAGAAGACTGAATGAGTTCAAGCGCAACGTGACCAGAGAGCTATGGCCAAAGTTGAATGCGAAAAAAAACAAAACATCTTATCCGTCTACATCGATTCTCCATTAACATAATGACAGGCTTAACAAGAAGCCACTGTTTAGTGGGGCTACACGGAAAAATAATGAGCTACCACTCTAATGGTTTTTGCCGCAACTGTAGGGATGAAGAGAAGCCTTGACATCTGCGCGGCACAAGCTCCTCGGGATAAGCTTCTTCGACGGCCTCGTTAAACTAGCTTCAGCAAAATGGTTCGATCATTTGAGAAGGTGCATAATGCGCCTATTGGCCTAAGTATGCTGGTAATGATCAGAAATTACAGCAACTCAACTCAACTCAAAGCCTTACCCCTTGCTACTGAGTGATATAGAAATCTCTGCATCTCTGGATATATATGTTCATATCTAAGCTCAATGAAACAAAATTTCTGTTTACGCCACCACAGCCACAGGTTTGCCGGAGATTTTTTTTTTTTTTGAAATGGAGCTAAAATTATCAAACAATAGACTGTGCAAGGCGTAGCTTGTGTGAATAAGTTTTACAAAAATTTACTCCAGCGTTAGCGTTAATACATACATATTTAAGTACCTTCTGCTTACATTTAAGTATATTTAATTTATAAACCTTTGCACTTGGCACTCTTTAGTTAGCGATAACTCATGCCGCAGCTCTGTAATCTTTCATTTATTCCACCGACTCGAACATAAATAATTTGTGCACTTAAAAATCAAACGGTTGTATAATAGAAAAAGCGATTAATTTTAATAACAAAGTCAAAGTAGCTACAAATAACCAATTAATTATGTAAAAAAAAATTTAATATATGCCGGTGATAAATGTATAAAAACCAAAACAATGTCAAAGAAACTTAAAAAAATGTGTCTGCTACTTTCGCTTTTAAAAAATATAAAAAAAATAATAGCAAAATGAAAAAAGAAATAAAAAAACAAAATAAGCTTTTTTTCAATAAAAAAAAAATTAAAAAATAAAACAAAACCACACACACGCTAGGCAGAGGTTAATAACAATAGTCAAATCCAAATGGAGATGATCAATATTACACGCTGCGTTGCCTGCGTTGTTCGAAACACACGCATGCGCTGACATAATACTCAGCACGTAGCGTATGCACAGCCACAGTGCGTCGTATTTCTGCCGCTGCCAAGCAACGACAAAAGCGACATATATATTTAAATGCGACACACGAGGTGAAGGTGTGCTAATGGACAATAAAAAAAAAAAAAAATTAAAGAAAAAAAAAAAACAAAAATAAAAACGTTACAAGTGCGCTATTTGTGCTAAGTAAATTTTACTTGCGTTTGTAATAGCGGCCAGCTGATTGAATGTGTATGCTCCCTCTACAACACCCGCCCTTACACCTTAAGTATATTGCACAAACTCTGTTATCGTTAGTTCAGTTTAACACACATTAGTAATTAATGCTTCATTCCTATGCAGGCACATACATATATATGCATGTATGTATGCGATTGAGAAGTGAAAGTCCATTAATCAATAGCGTAAATACATATACTCAACAAACGTTTTGGGAATTCACATATGCGCATGGCGCCTCAGAGCGAAACATTAAATAATCAAATATGTTAATTTGTGGAAAACTTGGCCGCCTCTAAATGATTACTGAATGCCTACACAAGCTGTCATTTACCGAAATGTATTAACATACTCGTACATAGTCCCCTTACCTTCTTTCTCACGTTGCAATTTCTTTATCGTCTTCTTGCATTCCTCCAATTCGCGCGTCAACCGCTGCATGGCCTTGTCCTTGATCGCCAAATCAACGCGCATGCCGCGTATAGTGGCCAGCAAATGTGCATCCTCCTTGGCCGCTGCGTGTGCGTGATGTGCGGAAATAGTCAAATCTGAATGTGATACGGGCAGTTTCGATGCTAAGGCTGAGCTGAGGTTGCCCATTGCAGTAACGAATGGTTTGCGTATGCCGCTTTGCTTCGAATTGGGTCGCGAGGTGTTGGGCGTTGAATTGGCGGTACTGCTGGTGCTTGAACTGGCCGAATGTACGGCGCTTGAGGTGCCGATGGTGTTGGTGCTGTGATCGCGTGTATTCTTCGTTTGAATAGTTTGCGTGCCGGTAGTGTGGGTAGTGTTCGTCGTACTGTTTTTGACATTGGCATTGGCAGCAGTGCTGGCGGTGACATTGCTATTGGCTGTGTTGGCTGTTGTGTTTTTGCTGGCATGTTTAGTGACATCGCCACTACAGCCTGCCTCGCTCTCCACTTCCACCACATTAGCATCGGTTTGAGTGCAATTGTTGTAGAAGTTCTCAGCCTTTTTAGAAACGAAGTAGTCCAAAGTGCGCACTTGCGATTCAATTTTTTCATTCAATTTTGTGTTGATTTCCTGAAGGCTGTGATTAGAATGATAATAAAGTTTCATTATATACATTACTTAGTTAAATGCGAGTCGCTTACCTTAGCACCTGCGTTTCTAAATCGGCTATATGAGTCTCATATTTGGCTTGTACCGAGTTAAAACGCGCTTGTACATTTGCAAGTATTTGCTGTGCTTTCAAGTCTTGTTCTTTGGCATCAGACTCCAATTGCGCTATACGTTGCTCCAGCAGCTTTCTACTGTTCACATTCTCCTGGTCATTATTGGCGCATTTACCGGAATTTTTGGAAGCGACTAAAAAAAAAATGGCATTTATAAGTGAGTTAAGCATTTCGGTGACATTTACATAAAATTATTTGAGGAATATAGGAAAACGATCCTGCGCACGAACTGCCTCGGTAGCACTGGATCTGTCAAAAGCTTTTGACACCGTCAACCATTCAGTGCTACTAACGGGCGTTGAGGAATCCTCATTACCGCCGGGCTTGCAGAGGTGGGTTATGGGCTACCTAAGGAGTCGACAATCATCGGTAATATTCCGAGGTGAAACATCGAGACCCAGGAAAATTAAACAGGTGGTTCGGCAGGGTGGTGTCCGCTCCTCGCTACTGATTAATTTCTATATCTCAAAACTCCCTCCTCCACCAGAAGGAGTTTCCCTAACCTCGTATGACGACGATTGTACGATAATGGCGTCTGGCCAGAATATTGACCACCTCTGTTCGAAAGTGAACTGCTTGCTTGCCTATCTTTCTCACTTCTTCACTGCACGACAACTAAAAATACCACCGACTAAATCCTCGGCTACCCTCTTCCCCAGCTGGACGAAGGAATACAGGCTTGAATTATATGTGAAGGTCGATGACGTAAAAATTTTTACTGTAAACAACCCAAAGATAGTCTGTACTCCTTCACTCCGCATATGACCGCAATTGCCGCAAAACTGCAGAGCCGCAACAAAATACCCAAAGCGCTAGCCGGCAGCACCTGGGGTAAGCACAAAGAAACTTTAATGGCAACTTACTAAACAATTTCCCGGCCAGTCGTAAACTATGCTGCACCGATCTGGGCGCCAGGGACGAACGAGACGCAGAGGAAAAAGCTACAGGATTGCCAGAACACCGCCTTCAGGATCGCGACAGGAAACCTCCTGCATGCTTTGCTGTGCAAGCAATTCCTATTGGGATGTTACCGTAGGGATACATCAGAAAGGAAGTACTCGACATGAAAAACACCATCCAGCAATACGTACAACAACCGCTGAACAGGTCGGCGTACAGGCAGGCACTGAGCGTAATTCGCCAGGACTAAGTCAACACCTTCAAAGACTCCCCTCCCGTGAATGGCGTGCTAGGAGATAAACCCCCACCCATTGCAGACAAAGAGCTCAAGCTGCTTCGAGAGACCCGCGTGACCTTGGTACAACTTAGGTCTGGATACTGTAGCAGGTTAAACTCCTATCTATCCAGACCCGATCCCAGCATATCCAACGTATGCTCTGCATGTGGAGAGTCTCCGCACGACACTAACCACCTATTGACATGCTCCTTAAACCGACTTATCAAACCCCCTCTCCCTTTGATCCGATCTCGCCGAAACAGCACGTTTCCCGGACCTCCCACTAGATGATCTTGGCGACTTAGATCGATCAAACCTGTACCTAAGAAAGGTTAGCAAACCGCTATGTAAACTGATGTTAGGCAACACCAATAACTCCATCAGGATCGGGAATGACGTCTCCGAGACGGTCGATACCAAATCGATCGCACCTATGATAAAAACCTTTCAAATTAAATGACTCTGGCGGACTTCATCATTATATTAATCTACTTACATAAATCACGTTTACAGTGCAAAAAAAGTAGTCACCTTATGCTCTAAGTAAAAAATTATTTATTCTTAATTTTCTCACCTATTAATGCCGAGACAGAATCCGGATGCTTACGCATCAGTATACGCTCCATCTCACGACACTGCCTCTGCAAATCTTGTATGGTTTTGGCATCTTTATCCTTAAGATCTTGTGTACGCTTCCGCTCCTGTCGGCTCTCCTCCAGCTCACCCTGCAAGGTTTTCTGCAAACTCAATGCCTCATCACGATCCGCACGCGCTGTTTGCAATTCGGTACGCAGTATATTGGCACATTCGTTCAGATGTTGTACGTCCAACTTCAGCATTTCAGACTCTTCTTGTAGTTTTGTATTGCCTTCACGTAAATCACGATGCAATTGTGACAGTGAATCGTGTTGTATACGCAACGATTTCAGACGTTCCTCCGTATCTTTCAACTTCTCCTGTAATTGTTCGATCTCGTGCTTCAAAGCATGCTCTCGACCTATATTCGCGGCAAACGGTTCAATGGGCGAGGTAAGCGCCGATACCATGCGCTTTGGTGAAGAATTCACCGATCTATCGCAGTATGTTTTGGCTGGTATTGGCGTGGAGATGATTCTATGTGGGCTATATGGACCGGGCGTGCACGATTGTGAGGATTGCGTTTGGCTGATACCACTGTCGGGTGTGGTCATCGAAGAGCGTTGTGTGCCGGCGGCGCAATAGCCACCGGAACTGCGTCGTTCCAGCATGCTGGGGTTACAATATTGCATGGCGTTAAAGTTGTATGGATTGCGACGCGCCGGACTACCACCGACATGCTGGCTGTGAGTTTGTGATGCATAAATACCGTTATACATTTGTTGTGCAGCAAGTGTTGGCTGTTGTTGTTGTGGTGGTGGCGGCGGCAGCGGCAACGGAGGATCTACACTTGGCCGACGTGCCAACATATTTACGCTGCCGTCTTCAAATTGTTTTGGTTTTGTTTGTGATGCGATATGCAATGACGTAGACATTACTGAAGATGATGATGATATTGACAAATGACCCGTATAAACAGTGGTTGTATTGGTAGTGGTGTTGGCAGCACCATTTTCGGCTGTATTAGCTTCAAGAGAACTACCATCTGCACTTAAAGTGTCTGCATCACCATCCCTATCCACATCAACATCGTCTTCAAATTCATTGGATACGTTGTCCGCCGACCGCTCATCTGCAGCGCTCGACATAATTGAATGTTGCTTGTTGACCTCTACAGCCTGCTCTTCATCATTCAACAGTATATCGATGTTTTCAATACCTTCGGTGATTTCCTCTATCTGTAAGCAGCAAAAGAGATGAAGAAATATATTTTAACTCAAAACTTAAATGCAAAATGAAGTATCAAAATCAAAAAATACAAGTCATTCCAAAGAAACTAGTTATTTTAATACATAATTCGAGCTAGAAATAGCTTAAGCTCGTTAACATTTTTCCATGTCATTCTCCTAACAGACCCTCTCTTTATCTTTGAAACATTGGTAGCGCATAGACGAGGGAAGGCCAAAAATTTCGCACCATGGAAAGGTCTAGAAAATTAGCCTTGAAAAAGAGGTTCATTCAATTTATTTATTTTATTTATTTATTTATAAGTATAATTTTAACACCACTGCCATTGGTACCACAGTACAACAACTATCTCTCCATTCTATGAAATTTTTGATCTCCTCTCGTAATGCGTGAAAACATACAGAGAAAAAATAGGGATTTCAATAGCTAATTGAAGTGAAAGGAAAAAATTTAATACTAATAGCATAACGAGGTTGTCCGTTAGCGTTCAGAGTTTCAACTGGAAACCCACCACATAGAAACCAGCTCCAATGAAAAAGAGACCAGGGCCTCGGTTAAGATATTGTACTTTCCTTTTAAGGACGACCACTGCAAACGTATTAAGAACTATGATGTAAGCGCATACACCTAGAATGTCCGACCTTGCGATGGTGTCGCTGCCCAGCTGTTTGAAATTCTAGTAAGACTAAAAGCTGCCATTACCACCGTTCGAGAAATCCCATGGACTACAGTGGCCATATAAAGGAGCACAAATTTGGTATTGGATTCATGATGGGAGCGAGACTCCGGAAACGGCTCGCCACAATGCGCATTAAAACAAAATATTTCAAAGCCTCCCTGCTGATATTGCAGGCTGGAATCGATGTAAGCGAGGAACGATGCGATCAAGGATGTTTTTAAAAGCGCCTAGAAGAACGTACTCATGACCGCTGCCTCTGCCCTGATTTGAAAATTGTGCTTGGCGACTTTAACACCCGACTAGCCAAATTGGGTATCCTCGGCACAACTGTCGGAAAATTCAGCCTGCACGACGACGTATCCTCAAATGGGTTGAGGATGATAGACTCAGCCGGAGCACGAAATAAGCTCGTATGTATTAATAGATTCTAGCACAAAAAAATTCACGAAGCTACTTGGCTGTCATGTCTTTAGTGTTATGGACGAGCGTAAGCTTCTAGAACCCAACATCAACTAGGAACACGATCTTGTAGCAGCAAAGATACGCACATGCACAACAGGTAGCCTGATGGTTTTCTAATCGAAGTGCACTCCTTCTCTCTACTCGACCAGCGACTCGATATAAGGGAATTGTGGAACTTAATTTCAAGCTCTCTAAGTACAGCTTCAAATAAAAGTAATGATTTCCGAAAAGTTCACAAAGGCAACTGGTACTATGAGGATTGACGTGCGGCAGTGGAGAGGAAACAAACCACCTACCGAGCAACGATACGATCAACTACTACACATGTGGGATGGGATAGATACCGAGAACTTTATAAGGAATAAAGACGCTTGTACAGGCAAAAAAGAAAGAAGCCTAGTTACGTGAATATAAAGAGTTTGAGTAGCTGGTTGACAAGGGTAAATGCAAAGACTTGTAGGACCCAGAGAGTTGATCTCGTGACTGTATATTGAATTTATGGAAGCAAAACTTCTTCACAGTCTGCTAAATGGTGAACCCAAAAGGATGTTTCATTGTCGAGTTATGAAGAAGTTCGAATAGCAATCAGATCAAGCGTTTCATCTTTTCGAAATTCGGCATCACTTATATATACAAAGTTCAGTTAGGTCTTTTTTCAACCGGTTTTCCCCGCTTTCACCGTTGGGTACTGCACAGAGTACTCTCCAAGCTTTAGGGTTCTCATCTTTGCAAGCGAAAACCTTTACATGACCAGCGCAGCCGCTGTCTCTTGATTCATCTAACTAAGTCAATATTGCCGTATATTGCCGAGAACGATTAGCTGCTCTATCGGCTGCAGCATTCGCTGGTGCACAAAGGACCATGAAACTCTGAGCACCAGCTCATCAGATGTTGTCATTGTTCATGCCTCCGTACCTAGAGCAGGATGGTAACAATGAGCGACCTGTCGAGTTTGATCTTTGTTGGTCGAGAGAGGATTTTACATTTCAATTATCTACGCATTTCAAAGTACCACCCGGTGGCAAAAGTTATTCTGCGCTAGATTTCCAGACTGACAGTGTTGGTGGTGTTAATACTGGTTCCAAGGTAGACGAAAATATCTATGACACTTCAAAGCTATGACTGTCAACAGTGATGTGAGAGCAGAGTCGCCGTTAATATACTCCATTTAGCTCTGAAGCTTGTATTATTTTCTAGCTAAAAAATCCTAGAAATGGATTTCGAAAAAAAACTATTAGTTTTTCATTTTTTTACCACCTAAGGCAACTACTTTAGCTTGATAGGCAAGTACGCCGAAAGATTGTTTTATATTCTTTTTACTCTGAAAAATTTTAATTCTGCTAACCAATTAATGCCGTAATTTTAAGATATGTTGGCCAATGAGTCAGCCATTGCTTGACCTGGTGGGTAAGCCTAGCCCAACTAAAGGATAGTAGCAATGCATATATATATATACGAGTATTAGATATACATATGTATATGCATGTAAAAATATAGAGTTTTATTAAATCAACATAAATGATCAAGTTTTTGTCTTCTTCTTCGTCTTCATCGTCTTCTTCTTGTGCATACCACAAATGGCCGTGCATTATTTAAAACAATGCAAAACCACTTTCCATTTTTCTTAAACGAGAAGAAAAGTGCTTTAAGTTAATGCCATACAGTAGTTCACATTTCTATTATAAGCGTTTACATGCTTATCTATGTATAGTATATATGTATGTACATATGTGTGTATGTATGTATGAACGTGCATCGTATATTAAACAAAATCCAGAAAATCCACTAAGACCAACACAACACTTACAACAATAAACGCTGTCACTTTCAACGATGCCGCATGCCACCAACCATTATGTGCACACAACCGATGAACCAACGAGACCAAAAAAAAAAAAAAATAAGAAATAACAAAAAAAAAAAATTACAACAACAAGCGCAACAATGATCAACTATTAACTACAATACAAAATGTTCATTTAAAGGCAAGTGGCCGAGCGAGCTCATAGATCGACAGCTCTAAAGTAACGTAAAAAAGAAACGTTCCACCATAGCATTAACCCATTTTTCGTCTATCGGAACATTTAATCTCAACCATGGTCACAATGGTTGTGACGGCAAAAGCCAAACAGTAAATAATAATAGTAATGTGGCGCATATATGTACGAGTATGTGCGAGTGTGTAGCATTGGCAGGTGTCTAGGCAAAGCTTCTCCTTACAATTTGTGGTGTGCTTTTAGATCAATGTAGACGAGTATGTGCACATGGCGAAGCTGCGCTTGCTCTAACGATTGATTTACAACAAGTATCCACCACTTGTGGCTTAGGCCACAACAACAACAACAGCAACAGCAACAACAATACTAAAGTAACCGCGGAAGATGTAATGCTTGTAAATGGTACAGATTAGAAACTATTGAATTGTGATGGCCTTAGCAACGGTGAAGCACCAACAGCACGAGTAACGGTAGTACGGTTAATGGCTGAGATCGAAACGGAGAATGTGCATACATACATACATACATAAAGGGTCTTCCAATAGGAGATGTTATTATGAATAGCAGAAATTGGTGGAAAAAATGGAGCTGTTGGTACAAGTTACTGACGTGAAGAACACATGTGCACGTAGCTCAAGACCAACCACAACTGCGGTTGTAGCCCAAAGTGTTGAAGAAACCCCAGATTTGTCCATTCCTCGTCGTTCTTTGGATTGCGGCATTACACAAACGTCATTACAACGTATTTTGCATAAAGACTTGTGTCTTAAGGCTCATAAAGTTCAGTTAATACACGAGCCGGCGGATCCTAAAAAAAACAACGTCGTGGTGTCTTTACTGATGGGATCATTGAAATGCATGAAACTGTTTTGGAATTTCATCGAAAAACCATCTTGACTAAAGAGGTCCATTTCCATCTCGATGGAAATAAGCAAAACTGTCGCCCAAGATTTATTGTTGAAAAGACTCTCCATCCTCAAAGTGTAACTTTTTGGTGCGGTTGATGGTCCGGCGAGGTCATTGAATCTTATTTTCTCGAAAAAGAGTCTGGAGCAAAAGTTACGGTGATTAATGATTGTTTATGGAGACAGTGTATGGTATTGATCTGCACAACTACTACTTTCACACTTTACTTTCAACAAGACGGTGCTATGTGTCACACAAACGACGATACCATTGATATTTTAAGGCAAAAGTTTCAGGATGCTGTTATCTCTCGAAGAGGTCATCGCAATTTTTCACCGAGATCTTGTGATTTAACACCTTGTAACTTCTTTCTTTGGGATCACGTGAGAGATAAGGTCTACGCCAACAAGCCAACTTCGATTCAAGATCTTAAACATGGAATTCGTGAAGCTATTGGGGTTATACAACACAGCCACTTTGTGATTGGGTGGTGGAAAATGTCATAAAAGGACACGGTCTTGTGAGCGTAGTCGAGGCGCCCATTTGGCTGATATTGTTTTTCAATATTAGTAGCAGACCTTTCATTTTTCTTTGAATATTATTTATTAAATATCTCCCTTCCGCTTTTTTGCTCTTCATTCAATGCTTTATAAAAAGTGGTACAGTGATCGGATTTAGTTAAAATATGCGCAGTTTTGTTCGATGATCTGTTTCCATCTAGACGGCAACTTCATAATACCTTCCTCGTAGAAGCCCCCCTCCTTATTTGCGAAGAATTCGGACAGCCACTTTTCACAAGCTTCTTTTGAGTTCAACTTCACACCACCAAGGGCACTCGCCATGGACAGGAACAGGTGGTAATCACTTGGCGCAACGTCCGGGCTATATGGTGGATGCGATAAAACCTCCCATCCGAGCTCCCGTAGCTTTTGACGAGTCATCAACG